GTAACACCGCTGCTGCGCGAGCTGCATTGGCTGCCGGTGGCCTTCTGGGTGCGCTTCAAGGTGCTGACTATCATCTTTAAGGCGCTCCATGGCAGCGGACCGGGATACCTTCGAGACCGCCTTCTGCCACAGATTACCTCCCATCGGCCAGTACGCTCCCACAGGGTGGGTCTCCTCAGGGTGCCGTCGGCCAGACAATGCCGGCTGGCGACCCCAAGGGGGAGGGCCTTCTCTGTGGGAGCTCCCACCCTCTGGAATGAGCTGCCCCCAGAGATCAGGGTGATCCCTGATCTCCCTTCCTTCCGCCGCGCCCTCAAGACATGGCTATTCCAACAAGCGGGACTGGCCTAGGGCAATTTTTAGAGGGGTTTTAATCATATTTTTTCTTTTTAACTAATTTTAATTTTGTAATTGTTATTGGTGTATTTTTAATTGATTGTCAGCCGCCCTGAGTCCGTAAGGAGAAGGGCGGGATATAAATTCAATAAATAAATAAATAAATAAACATGCCTTAAAATTGTCAAGGTTGAGAAACACTGATCTAGTCCTTTCAGTGCATTTCTTGAAAGTCCAAACACATTATTAAAGGCTATTCCTCTCAATATTTAGAGCAACAATGACCTTTCCTTTCAACACTTGTTATTCTATAATAGATGGCAAAGCCAACTCTGCCCAACCTTAATCCAGCTGGCAGGACTTCAAGGACAAAGAAAAAAGGCAAGTGATATAAAATCAAATTAATTTAATAAGGAACTGAGAATATAATATCAAAACACAAGCATGCCCCTCAGACAGAAGTGCAATAGAGAACACTAATTACAATAAGACGTCAATTCCTCCCAGACATTCATATGAACATTTTGGCAGCCCCTTGCTTTTCCGGTTATGGAGGGGGACTGGCAAATACATTGGCATGTAGGCCAGCTTCATATGTTGCAGAATTCCAAAAATCTATCTTCTGTTATTTGTGAAAACATAAAAGCTGTGAAAATCCATACAAGCACCAAATTATAGAATTAGTATAAAAGAGCAAGAAGTATAGAATTAAGTCACATAAACTGTTGGCCCTATATTCAGATCATTACAAAAAGGTTTCAAATGATTTCTCGTGACTTCCCAAGCATACAAAATTATGGTATAGACACACCACCCAAGGAAAGACCGCTGTTGAGTACCCTGGGTGACCTTTTCTGTGCAGAGGAATGGACACTGAAGTCAGCCAGCTATCATATTAAATTTGTACTCTTCATATCTATCGAGACTCCATGCTTGCTTCCATGCAATCTGTGAAACAGGTGCACGCTTCAGACAGCACAGTCACAACTTTTGCCAACACTCTCCTAAAAGAGGGGGCAACCTTTGCGCCTTTTGTTCTTCCTGACTTGCAGAGCAGCCCGGGTGGCCATTTCAAACACTTCCCGCACTCCGTCCTTTGTCTTGGCTGAGCATTCAAGGTAGCCAAATGCATTGATCCTGTTCGCCATGTCTCTGCCATCTTCCGGCTTCACAGGCTCCTTCACAAAAAACGACATGCAAAACAGTTTGATTATTAATTAGCATTGCCTGGTATAACAATAGAAGAATCCAAGGTAACCCCAGTACGTACTTCCTCTTAATTGTTTTTCTCAGACAATATAACAGAAAGCATTTTTGATGACTACAGCAAGTGTGTGTATGTATATGCATGCATGTATGTACGTATGTATGATGCCCAAAGTTTGGGGGCTGCTGTTCTAAAGGTTGGGCACAATAACGGAAAAGGGTCCTTTCCTGGGTCCTGCCAGGTGTCCCTCCTTTGTAGATTCAACCTGAAGCATACACATTACATAATTTAATACTTTATATTTTCAGAGTATCATTGTGCACCTTACTAGTATGACAGAAGAAACAAACTCAGATGGCCCTGAGACCTCTGTTGTTGTTTTTTAAACAAGGGCATGGGGCTGTGCAACTTTGGGATTGAGGCCATTATTCTGACAAAGGCCCAACATGTTTACATTGATGTATAGGAAACACTGGCATAAATCCTTAATGCAGGACTAAAGTGGGTTCTTGTCTGCTGCACACTGTTGGAATGAAGATGAACTGTAGTTGCCAGTGTCTCCAGAATCAATTCCTATCCATGCTGGCTGGAAAAAACAGTGTTGGACTTGAAAAAAGATACTGATGGAAAAGCCTGTGGATTTATTAACTTATACCCCATTTTTTCATACTAA